CTTCAATATCGCCACGTTTTATAACCGGATAAGGAGGATGGGAAGAGGTACGTTTTTTGCCACAACCTAGAGGGGAATTATAAAGAGGAGTATATTGAAAAGTTATAGGTAATAAATTTTGATTTTTTTTATTTTTATTTTATTTATTTTAAGGTTACCTGTAAAAGCATTGCAAAATGGACGTTTTTCATATTTCCACTGTATGATGCCGCTTAATTTGTGCTGAAAGAAAATAAAAATAATTTTTATTAAATAAAAATAATTGTTATTAAATAAAAATAATTGTTATTATTTTATAATACATTTGTATTAGTTTAGGGGTTTTCCGAATTTCGCCTTACACGAGTGTGAGTGGTAGTCTAAATTTTTGTAAATTCATGTATGGCCAATTATGGACCGAATGACTAAATCACCCATCTTTTTTGATGGTCATTTGTATACCAATGATTTATCGGGGAAACTATGACAGAATTCTCAAATTTTGTACAAGTACTCCCAGGGCATGTTTGGTATAAAGATTGTGCTACAAACGCCTCTAGTATGTCGGATCTGACAACATTAGCTTTTGACTAGAACACTTATCTGGTACTATGGAAATCAGTGTAGCGAAGAAATTCGGCATCAACAAATTTTATAAGAACATAATTGGCCCTAACCCCCCATATAAGGTCCTCTTCAGAATATGACTTTACCGCTCATTACTAGCTTAAAAATACGAATACAACGATGACATTCGACATCAACAAGTTTTATAAGAACAAAAATCTTTTTACGAAATTTTTTGACGAGCGGATCATAATTGATACTTTCCCACATATAAGGTCTCCATCAGAATATGACTTTAACGCTTATTACTTGCTTAAAAATACAAATACAGAGATAACATACGGCATAAACATGTTTTATAAGAACCAATATCTTTCTACGAAATTCTGTGAGAATCGGCTCATAAAGCGATAAAGTTCAATATAAACAAGTTTCGTAAGAATCAAAATCTTTCTACGAAATTTTATAAGGATCGGCCCATAATTGATGCTATCCCCCATATAAGGTCCCTTTCAGAATATGACTTTGAGCTTATTACTGTCTTAAAAATACGATTAGAGTATTGAAATACGACAAAAATAAGTTTTATCGGTCAATAACTGACCCTATTCCCCATGTAAGTTCCCAGTAAATGTTATCCAAACCAATGAGGATTGTTCCATAATTGACCTTAACCCCAAGTAACATCTCTTACTAAAAACAGTTTATAGTTATAAAAATTTGACAAAAACAATTTGTTTTAAAAAAATAATCTATTTAATTCAGAAGATCTCGGTCCATAACTGACTTATGAACTCATTAAAAGCCCTTTTCCAAATATTACCCTGATGTTGTTATTTATGTATATCGATGATAAAAATATCAATCTTATAAATGGAAGAATTGTTACGATTACAAAAGCATAGATTCAAAAATTTTAGAGTTTATTTATAAGGGAGCATTCCTTTCAAAACATATGATTTGATGGTCGGTATATAACATAATATACCCGCCGAATATAACACTCTTACTTGTTTATATTACATTTATGTCAGACTTTTTTTGTTGCATATAATTTTCAGCCATTTTTTTACTTTTATATCTTTTTAAAAAGGTTGATAGTGATTCTACTATAACTTATTTGGAAAATCTATATTTAATATCTTAAATTGTATTAAGAGTCAAGTTTTTATATGAAATTTTAAAAATTTAGCACAAAATACGTTAAACATAATAAACTAACAGTTTTTATTCGAGAATTTGTATTATTTGTTTTTTTTTTAATCAAAATTTTAAATGATCTTACATTCGCCTCAGATTCGGTGGCATAACACACATGAGCACTTATGAGACACAATAATAAACAGGGTTTTAATGTCAACATTTTTCACTTTTTTGAAAAATAAGTTTTTAAAATTTATAAAATATTTCTTATTTTAACGTTGTATATTTTATTTTCTTTAATTAATATTTTATTTAAAATAACTGTTATTCCCAATTAGTTTGTTTACTTCCACTAGCAAAAATGAAATCTTGCCAAAACAACCGTTATGTTCAACGTCTAGTGTGAAATTGTTCCTTATATAGGGTCATCGGTGCATTTTAAATTTTGATTTGTATTATGCTGTTAAATACACTTACATGTGAACATGTCTTGAGTATTACAAGTTTCTTGTTGTTATTGTTGTTTTTTGTATTGGCTTTTCGATAACATTTCTCCTGCTGCGTTTATAAAGTGTTTTGGTGGTCATTTTGGTTGGTGGTAATTGCTTTTTGTGTTTAACTGTAAGGAATTGTGCTGTATGATTCCTTTTTTTTCTGTTTCCATTTTAAGCATGATTTGGTAAATGCTTGTGTTGCTTACTGATTGTTTTCTTAGCATAGGTCAAAATTTAATTTAATTTTCTATAAAATCAAAACAATTTAATGAGGATAAACTTATTAATTGGAAGGGCTAGGAAGATTTTAAAGAAATTTAAGATTTGGATTGTTAACGGTTATATTAATGATATGTGATAGATTAAATTGCACACTTTTAGTTAAAAGTTCAGATTTCATTCAATAAAACATTTTGAAGATTGTCAACTCTTCGGTTAGGTTGAAGAAATTGGAAATTTTTAGTGAGAAGTTGAATTATCGTCCGATGATTCAGAAACTTAGTCTCGTGGACTCAATTACTTAAAGTGTTTTGATGTAACTTTAACAAAGGTTTGTCCATGATTGAGAATGTGTTTCAGTATAGAGGCGATAACGTGATACACTACTTTATTGTTTTCTCGGTCTTTCACCTAATCATACTGATTTGCTTATAATTTGCTTGCCCGATTACTACATATCATAAATATCATCGTTTTAGGAAATTTTTACCGTTTTCGTTTTGTTTGTGAGAAATACAGATGTTTTGACAGATTTTCATCTGTGTTCCATCCACAGGGTGAGCTTCTTAGACGACTCACCACCGTTGTATTTTACACGCAGTTTGCAATTTTTGTACATGCCGGTACATGTACAAGCACTTTGCTCAAGTACTCGAGCTATCTAATCCCTGCCCATAGCTGCTCCGCTTCTTAACTTCCGAGATACAAAAACATCACTTCCGTTTACAACCACGCAAATGGTATGACCTCTTTTGAGTTGGCAACAGCACCGAGAGACATATTCGGTAGACCGTAACTCGAATCCATCAAATATATGTTGACTTCGGCACCGAACATGTCCTGAATTATAGATTTCACCCTGCATTCTCTTTCCGCTAATTTGGGTTTAATCCACAGCCATCACGTGTACCCCGAAGAGACCTCTCCAATAACCGGGACAAGACAAAGTCCGAAACTCTGCCCTGCGGGCTACCGGTACCCTTGGTACCAGATTTTGTGGTTCTGGTTCGAATCAATGTCAAATCATTCCAAGGAACGGCAGAGGATACATTTGATCACCACTAGTTTATAGTCCCGGCAGACTAGAGGTACTGGTAGCAAATCTTTTCCCCATGTTACATGTGCCCGGGAGGAGTGCTTGGTTATAAGTGTGACCATAACCAAAGCTCTTGCAATATTGTTGGATACTCTACCAATCGAAACTTAGTTACGGTCTAAGGCGTCGCTCGCAGCCTCCTCCAAAAGTAGGGGGAAAGGAAATGAGTGAAACATGTAAGATATTAATAGTTAAAGGCAAGGGAGGAAATGGAGGCAGAGTGATTATATTTAGAAATAGAGGACTCGAAGAGCTACTGATCAGTGCTGTTGGAGTTTGTTTTATCAAACCAATAGCCATACCTGATAAAGGCGTTTAAATTATCTAGTTTAATTACAGATAACTCGGAAGTATCTTCCAAAAATCTATGTCCCAGATATCGAAAACGGACGGCCCCAAATGTGGCTCAATTTTCAGTTTTGACTCTTTGGTTTATGTTTTTAAATCCGATCTTATTTTCTCGATCATATTTTCTCAAACTTCTTCTTTCCAATTTTCTGTTTTTGAATCTACCTACAGGTATCACAAAGGTACCACTTGTGTGTCTTTAGCAGCTTGAAGAACTAACTAAGTTGGTCCACAAACCTTATGGGTTGGTTCAAGCAATGGGAGTAAGTTCCACAATAGTTTGACGGTACAATTCTGATTGAATACACAGGACTACGAGCACAACTACTCCAACTTGGAGTAAGTGTTGAGGATAGTAAAAGCTTTCTATGCCATTGAGCAATGTTATACCGGATATTAAATCCTTACGTCTGGGATACTGAGTTTCCGAATAATTAGACAATAGGTTTTCACCAAAAATCTCCTTTTGTATATCTTTATGATATGATGTATCTCCTTTTTCAACCTAAGCTAAATCAAGTTAACGTACTATTATATATTAAAGATAAAAGTTATCTGAGATCATTATTCTTTTAGCATTACCGCAAATTTTCGTTTATGTTACAATTCTAAAAGAAAACAAATTAATGAAACATTTTTTCTTATATAATATTATTTCTTAATTATAAACGCTGTGAGAAAGGATTTTGACCGACCTTCATCTTTCTGGACATATGGTGATATACGTTATCTATTTTATTATGGATTTCAGATTTATTAAACACATACTTACAACATAAACTTCAACAACGTACAGCATGATTAATTTATACGAATTAAACAGTCGTGTATAGTTGGACCCCCTACCAACGCCAAATGTCATTGGCCGCTACACACGCCAGAATGTTACTACAACTCTAGTGTTGTACTCCTAACCTTGAAAAGGTTTAATTGCTATAACGTGCATAAATTGTATATTCCAAAAATAAAAATTCTTAATAATTGTGTTTGCAGATGATGTTGTAAAGAACAAAATTTTATAAATTCATATTTTATTTAATAAAAGTATGTTTTTTTTTGTTAATTAATTCTTTCATTTATAATTTAACGAACAAACAAAAAGTATTTACTTAAAAGTATACAAAAATTTGTAAAGATGTGAAATTATAATGGAAAAAATGAAATATTTTATAAATATTATGTTTATAAAAAAAGCTTTAATAAGTTCTTATTTAGAGATGAGAACTTAATTTTAAAGCTGTCAAGCTAAATAACAGCTGTCATTAATTAAACAAAACATGCATACACACAGGTGCTTTTACAATTTTATTTCTAGTTTTTTTATAATAAGTTAAAAATTTCTTGTATGTTGAGCTAGCTATTCCTTGGCATCGACAATTTCAAATTGCAAATCAAATTGTTGATCAAAACCAATCAAACAATCTGACATTAGATATAGAGTCAGCAAAAGACGTCCCTTGCGTGGTGGACATTGAAACGTTATACGATTGGAGGCTTTTAAACCACGTATATTTACGCGTTTCATGGCCAATAATTCATCAGTACCCTGTGAGCCTAGTGTTAAGAACCAAGCTTCATTTTTACCTTTGGGATATTTGGGACAATGAATGGCAGTGCTGTGATAACGATTTGTATTCAAACGTTTCATATTAATACAAAGTACATAGTCCTGTAAAATAAATTAAAATGAGAAATAAGTTTTTATTTATATTAAATGATTTACCTCATTAGGATGAATTTTTGTCCAAACATTCGAATTAAAATCTGTGGGTATCTCTCTTACATCTTCCATTTGTTCATAATGTCTACCCTGTATGGAAATATTTACTGATATTTCTGGAAGATTTTGTAAAACTTTATAGATTTGTTCTATTTCTGGCTCTTCGAACATGTCTCTTAATGGTCCAGCTAATTTTTCGTAATCATTGCGACAAATATCTTTCAGGGCCGGTAAAGTTAGATGTTCGTAATTGTGTTGTATTTTAAAGAAGAGATGAACATTTGTGGCGGTAACATGGGGTAGTGTAAGGAATTCACTCTCATCAAACCAACGAGCTTGTATAACACTTTGCATGAGTTGTTGCACTTTGAGGGTGGTCGAGAGCCAGCCACGTTCTGCGGTATAATCCACCATGGCCTGTTAGTAAAGAAGTTTAGACAAATTTTAGATGTTTTAAAAAATTGATAAAAATGCTTCAGAGATACTTACTTGCATTACACGTGTAGCATTATCCAAAGCTGATTTGGTATCAGTAAGATAATCCGAATTTGGCAAGGCAAGTCTTGAGAAGTGAGCCTGCAGTAGAAGGAATGTTTTCGTATAAGGCGAATCCCAACTGGGCGAACGAGGACGCAAACGACAGATTTCCGCTAATTCCCTGAAATAGAACAATAACATTAGTAAGCAACTGTAAACTAAACTCTATATACTACAGATTAGACTATAGATTAGACTATAGACTTGACTATAGACTAGGCTATAGACTAGACTATGGACTAGACTATAGACTAGACTATATAATAGACTATATAATAGACTATAGACTAGACTATATAATAGACTATACTATAGAATATACTAAGACTAGACTAGAATAGACTATAGATTAGACTAAAGACTTGACTATAGACTAGGCTATAGACTAGACTATGGACTAGACTATAGACTAGACTATAGACTAGACTATAGACTAGACTATAGACTAGACTATAGACTAGACTATAGACTAGACTATAGACTAGACTATAGACTATAGACTGGACTATAGACTAGACTATAGACTAGACTATAGACTAGACTATAGACTAGACTATAGACTAGACTATAGACTAGACTATAGACTAGACTATAGACTAGACTATAGACTAGACTATAGACTAGACTATAGACTAGACTATAGACTAGACTATAGACTAGACTATAGACTAGACTATAGACTAGACTATAGACTAGACTATAGACTAGACTATAGACTAGACTATAGACTAGACTATAGACTAGACTATAGACTAGACTATAGACTAGACTATAGACTAGACTATAGACTAGTCTATAGACTAGACTATAGACTAGACTATAGACTAGACTATAGACTAGACTATAGACTAGTCTATAGACTAGACTATAGACTAGACTATAGACTAGACTATAGACTAGACTATAGACTAGACTATAGACTAGACTATAGACTAGACTATAGACTAGACTATAGACTAGACTATAGACTAGACTATAGACTAGACTATAGACTAGACTATAGACTAGACTATAGACTAGACTATAGACTAGACTATAGACTAGACTATAGACTAGACTATAGACTAGACTATAGACTAGACTATAGACTAGACTATACTAGACTATAGACTACTAGACTAGACTATAGACTAGACTATAGACTAGACTATAGACTAGACTATAGACTAGACTATAGACTAGACTATAGACTAGACTATAGACTAGACTATAGACTAGACTATAGACTAGACTATAGACTAGACTATAGACTAGACTATAGACTAGACTATAGACTAGACTATAGACTAGACTATAGACTAGACTATAGACTAGACTATAGACTAGACTATAGACTAGACTATAGACTAGACTATAGACTAGACTATAGACTAGTCTATAGACTAGACTATAGACTA